CTGAGGACGCGCCGTGGACGTCCGAGTCTCTGCGCGTTCTTTGGTTTACGGCAAAGCTGTGAGTGTGGTTGTAGCTTTACGGCAGAGAGTCTCGGCCGGGCGGGTTCAGATAGTGTCCACGTTTGTCCCGTCCTTTCCTGTCCAGCTGTCCTTCCAGCTGTTTCCTTCTGATGGGACTTTTTAGAGTCTCGTGTTCCTGCTATAGGGAACAGAAGGTGCTCCTCTGGTGCTGTGAGATTTACCTCCACCTGAGAATCACCTGGGCACTCCTTCCATGGTAACATGGTCGATCTGTAACCAGCACTAAATATACTCGAGGTGGAAACAAACAGACGAGTATTAAAATGAGCAGCAGTAACTGTAATCTGCATTATCAGGTTCTTCAAAGATGACTTAAAAGTTAAATAATAATGAATCGGCACAAAGTGAGATCTAAGTCATCCTCGCTGATCCCAAACAACCTTCTGTCTTTGCAGATAAGTTTGATGATGATTTACACTTTACTGGTTTTAAATCAGCTCTTTTGTCTGTGAGTTCTTTGGTTCTTTTATTGCTTTTATTTTATTTACAGATTCTTTGGATGAATAAAACTGAAACTCAAACATCCACAAAGCTGAAAGTGTCCTGAAACTGTGACACCAAACAAACCGTGTCCTTGGATCACTGAGAAAGCCCCAAAGCATCAATCTGCTCACATTAAATAAACATGGGAGTGGATGCAGTTTCCATTCACACACACACACGGCCTGCTGTAGCCTCCAGCTCCGCCTCCAACACCGAACAAACAAACTGTGTCATCATGAGATCTCCTCGCCGTCCTCTCGTCTTCTCTGTGTTTCACATGAAATTCAGAAATGACTGACTCTCTTCTGTGCGTCCTCACACTCCTAACTCTGCTGCCTCACCTGAACAACTCAGATTTGATTTCCTGGAGTCACAAATATTAAGCATAGTACTGGCCTGGTTTAGGGTTGGAGCTCAGAGAGCTGCGCACATAACGTTCGTACGAAGCGGTGTTGGCGAACAGAAACACGAGGTCACGCGGTGTGTGTGTAAAGGTCGGCGGCGTCTCCCTCTGCCCGCCGTGTTTCTCCTTTTGCCGTGTCTCGGGCTTCTGCACGCTTCTCCTTCTGCAAACTCTCTTTCCGGCTTTTCTCTGTTTCAGCAAAACCATTCGGATAAATATAATCGATGACGAAGAGTACGAGAAGAACAAGAACTTCTTCCTGGAGATCGGAGAGCCTCGGCTGCTGGAGATGAGTGAGAGGAAAGGTGGGGGGGTGTCGCCTTCCTGTACCCTGACCCCTTCTATATCACTGATAACCTTTGACCTCAGTCAGCCCTGTTGATGTGGTGTTTAATGTCATAACGAGTGCAGGGAAGTTTGAGTTGAGCTCATCCTTTAATAATCTGAGCTAATCATGTTTTTGCATCCCAGCAGGCAGACAAGGTGTCTGTGTTTGTGTGTGTGTGAACTAATGCATGACCCTTGACCTCTGACCCCCCTCCCCCCACAGGAAGATCATAGCCATTAAAATAATCGATCACGAGGAGTATGATAAGAATGCCAGCTTCTACGTAGAGCTGCAGGAGCCGTACTGGAACAGGAGGAGATGGACAGGTGTGGACGGGCACCTTAACCTCTGACGACCTCTGACCTGTCCTCCTTTGCCTGTCTTTGTGGAGTTTGTCTTTGCTGCTGTCACTCCTTTGCCCTCAGCTGGCGTCCTATTGGTCCAGACTGAATTATCAGTGCTGAGAGGTGCTAGGACAGTTTGAGTCAACTTTATCGATATATAAGGCGACAACAAAATCAATGCGTTGATTCTTTTCTCCGGGTTCATAGAAATCTTCACACAGTATTGTTGCCGTTCACTCAGACGTTTATGGCGAACACCCGGTGTCGCTTTTTCTTCTCGTCGGGTTTGTGATGTGAAGGCACGTGTAGTCAGGTCACCTGTGGCGTTTAACAGCTCTTGGATGGCCCCGCCCCTCCCTGAGCCTGGTTCTGCTGGAGGTTTCTTCCTGTTCAAAGGAAGTTTTTCCTTCCCACTGTCGCCAAAGTGCTGCTCATAGGGGGTCATATGATTGTTGGGGTTTCATTGCAGGGTCTTTAACTTGAGGCGACTGCTGTGGCGATTTGTGATTTTTAAATAAACTCCTTTGGACTGAATTGAATAACATGAACAAATAATGGAAATAATTTTCATGTTATTAAATTGCTTTATTTTAGCATTATGCAATGCTGTTATTATAACTTAATGGAGTTGGATCAACTTATTTCCTGCAGTTGAGTCTAACTTAATTTATTTAAGTTGATCCAACCCATGAAAATGATGTTAGTCTGAAAAAAATGCCTAATGCTGACAGAAAGCCATTTATTAATGTAGAAATCCTTTTCATTAAGTTCATTTAAAGACTTAATTTTTTAGAGTGTTCAACAAATTCTAGACCAGGGGTGTCCAACTCCAAGCCTCGAGGGCCACTTAACGTAAAAACACTTTTACCAGGGTTACCGGGGCCTATCCGGACGTGATAGGGCGAGAGGCGGGGCAAACCCTGGATAGGTCACCATTCTGTCGCGGGGCTAACACAGAGAGACAGACAACCATTTGCAATCACAGGTAATTTAGAAACACCAACTAACCTAACTTTTCAGTTGTGGGAGGAAGTCAGAGTACCCACTGCAAACTCGGCCAGATTGTGGATTTGACCACAGGACCTTCTTGCTGTGAGGCAACAGTGGTAACCGCTGTGCCACTGAGCTGTCAGTCCAGGCTTAAAAACAGCAGGAAGGTTCTGATCACAAGGCTCGATACACAACTTTCTGCACGTTTTTGTCTCTGACAGGTTAAACCACAATAAAGAGCGATAGCATACACGTCGTCTGTGTGGTCGTCTGCCTCTTATAACTCCAGTGATTTTCCCGTGGTCTCAAATCTTTGGAATTATGGTCACCACAGAAACAGGAAGTTATTTTGTTCAGATTTCCAGTTTGAATCTTTTAAACGTAACAACCGCCCACTTTCATTTCCCTGAGTGTACTGAGGCAGCCTGGGTGTTTCACTGGGTTTTCAGGTGGTTTTTGTGGAGTTTGTGTCTTCGCCCAGTTCGCCTCACTAGAACATGCTAGTTCGTCTTATCTTAGTCCCGGAGAGGCTAGGAGAGAGATTCTCGCTTCCTTGTTGGTCCAGGTGTGGACAGATGCGGATGTGTCCGGTCGAGCTGTGATGCTGGCAGGTTGGGGAGGACGGGTCAGGTCCATTCAGGCTGGACTCTCATATGAAACCTGCACGTGTCCGTGATAATCGCACACTTTAAATTTGTGTTAGATGTAACAGTAAACTAACAGCTGACCACCGCTCGAACCGTCGTTGGCGTCACGTTTGTCACGCGTTCGTTCAGCAGCATGAAGTCCAGATTGAGGACGGGTGTGTCAAACAGAGACCTTCTGATGTCACTTCTGCTTCATGTCTCTCTCGTCTCTTTCTTCTCTTCAGCTGTGTTGCTTCAGGAAGTCGGTAAGCCGCTTTCTTTGTCCCCTTCCTGTCTGCAAACCGTTTATGTGTGTCGCTTTCATGATTTCTAAGAATTGCCACAAAACCAAATGACTAACTCTGACTTCCTGTTTCGTACTTGCTGTCCTTTCAGGTGGATTCGTTAAGACAGGTAGGTGAAAGCCAGCAGTGAGACGATATCTGACATGTGAGCATTCACTGTATGTGTGTGTTAATTTGTGCTTTTTGTGACTTTTTGATAGACAAACAGCTGTATGGTAAGACACCTGTCAGTGGTGTAAATGTTGGCTTTCAAAGTGTGTCAACACTTAAAGCAACGTGTACGATGGTAGCGGCGTCTTGTAAGCTCTTCACGTGACTCTCATTCATCACCTTTAAACGTCGGGCGCCTGAGACGAAGCCCCGAATCTCAGATTTACAAACAGACCAAAGCCCGTTCCCGCTGCTCCACCAGGCCCGAGAAGCGTTTGTGTTTCACTGTGGTCACCAACGTGCGACGGGTGATTGGCATATCCCGCGTAGAGCTGGTCATGTGACTGCATGCGTCCTGAACGCCGCCACAGAGTGGACCTAGCTACAGCGGCTTGCAAAAGTATTGGGCCCCTTGAACTTTCCCACATTTTGTCACATTACAGCCACAAACATGAATCAATGTTATTGGAATTCCAGGTGAAAGACCAACACAAAGTGGTGCACACGTGAGAAGTGGAACGAACATCATACATGACTCCAGACATTTTTTACAAATAAATAACTGAAAAGTGGCTTCAGAATTGGAGTCCATCTTTTACGTACAGGCTATGCTCAGCATTTGAAATGCCCTGACCCGTTCTGTGCGTCATCGTGATCACAGATGAAACAGCACCAGCGCACCTCTTGTTATGTTTTCTTTCAGGGCATCACGCAGGGGAAGAAGCTCAGGGTAATTTAAACATGGCGTCCATCGGCACGCTGCAACACCATCGTTCCTGTTATTTCGCCGAGCCACAGAGCGTCTCAACTTTAATGAAGTTGGTGGAAATAGAAGAGAAATTATAGTAAATAACATTTTAAGTCAAACACATCAGCGAGTATTTAAAAAATCATCATCCCAAAGCAGCTGGAAGAGCAGGTGTGACTGTCAGGCCGGCTGTTTCCAGACTTCCGGCTGAGCGTGAGACATGCTCTCAGTGCAGAACGAGCAGTTTCCTGATGCAAAGCGATGTTTTGGTCCAATCACAAGCTTTCCCTGAACCTGACCATGCAGGTTTTTAGTTCCTGAAGCTAATGAGTGAGGGATAACAGGAGAAACCCGATGTCAGGACTTATCTTTCACATAAGGATTAGACACAGGCAGCGTCAGACACAGTGGGATGAGAGGGCAATGGCTGTTTGCTAAATGAGAGCCTGTCTTTGGTATTGTGTCCTAGCTGAGACACAATACAGATGAAAACATCTGGAAAGACATTCATTCAGTTCTGTGAAGGCGTGACCTCCGTGGTTCCTGCAGGAACGATCCCATTCAGCTTTCCCTCAAACAGCGATCCTCTCTGGGGTCATTTACACTCATCCGCCTCAAACTCCCAGAGTTCATTTCACCATCCAATCGCCAAGCTTGAAATTCTGTGACGTGAGCTCCCGACAACTTCAGGCTCCGTCTCTGTGTCAGTCTGAACCTTCAGCTGCTTCTCCAAGGCAGCGATGACAGACGTTTAAAGAAGGACTTAAACCTGGGAGATGATGGGAAACCTGCAGGAAACGGCGGCTTCGCACCTCACCACTTTGACAACACGTGTGCTCCTCACAGCTTGTGATTGGCAGAAATTTCTCTAAGATCCATTAACCTTTGATCAAACGCTTCCCCGAGGAACCTTCAGAGTGTCCAACATGAAATCTGAGCAGAAACTGTCTCAGACTCGCTCACAGCAAAACCTGGCCTTCGAATTTCTAACTACTGTAGTTACTTCTAGTTACTGTAACAACCCAAAAACCTCGCTGCCATTAACTAACCTTATGACTCCGCCCTCTTATCTAAATATAGTCACACAAAAACCAATCAGGCGGCCATCAGGTGGACGCCTCAGATCAGCGGCTGATGCTGATGTCACCATTTCTACAGTGTACAGACAACACGTGAGCTTTAGAGCCTGTTATTGTGCCAAAAAATCACCTGTTTTGAGCCAATCAGTGAAGAGAAGACTCTTTCCTGACTAGGAAACATCTGGAGGTTTCCGGAAGCCTTAAAATTGTGAGACAAGGAAGGTTATTTCTAACCAAACTGAGCATGCTCAGATACGCACAAACAGGTCCTCAGCGCTCTGAGATGCTGAATCGTCAGTGTGATCATTAATGTGAATGTTTGAAGGTAAGACCTTCAGAATAAAAGAGGGATCATTTAATCAGACTCTCTGCAGGTTCTCACAAACGTTTACTAAAAAAGTCTTAAACAGCATTAAATTAAATCTCAGACTCAATTCAATTTTATTTATATAGCGCCAAATCACAAGAAAAGTCGCCTCAAGGCGCTTCATAGATACAGAGGAAAACCCAACAATCATATGACCCCCTATGAGCAGCACTTTGGCGACAGTGGGAAGGAAAAACTCCCTTTAACAGGAAGAAACCTCCAGCAGAACCAGGCTCAGGGAGGTCATTTTATTACTGTTATTATTATTTCAGTTCAGAGAGCAGCACAGCTCATCAATATTTTAAAAACATCAAATAATACTGCCGTCAGCAGACAGGATTTGTTTTCACTCCTCGCTGCTTCCTGTTAGCGTCACATGACCTCTGTAACTGTCCCTTAGTCTAACGCTCAACCCTCCACCTGAATGCCCACCTGAGGAGGAGCTGCAGGTGTGAGCGTCAGTGTTCTGCTCGTGTAAGCAGAGTGGGTGTAACCCCGCCCCCCAGCATGTGCTGATGGTAAAGCACACCCTTTATATTGCTCAGCACAGCCAGCCTAGGCGAACACTGCTACGATGCTAGCCCCATGGTGCGATCATAGACTGTGTACAAAAGAAGTAAGCCTGTCACTGTTCACGTGCTCACAGCTGCAAAATGCTGTTTGTGGACCGAGCGCACAGTTACCATCCAGTAAAATTAAGTCTCCACATCTCCCACATGAGCCGAGGTAAAGAGACATCAAGCTAACCTTTTAACTAACCTGCACTGGTTGAATGATAACTAACCTTCGTTAATGAAAAGCATCACACGAACATAAATCCAGATTGAACAGCAAACACACACGTTTCATCCCGATTTTTGAAGTCTATTACTAAACAAAAACACCTCTGACATTTCACAGACTTACAGATTCTGTCCCTCTGAACAGACGCACATTAAACACACAAGCCGTCAGCTTGGTGCTGGATACAGGCTGTGATGATTCAGCCCTGTTCTGGTTTCAGTTTCTGTTCACCTGTTCAGGCAGAGACATCTACAGGAAGGTCCAGGGACGAGAGCACCCCGTCCCCTCCAACATCAGCAGCATCGCAGGTTTGCCCATCATCTATCTTTTACTGTGCTAACTTTTATCACAGTGTCAAACGAACCATTATGATCATTTATTTTCGTAGCTCTGATCAGGACAGGCAACGCTCATATGTACACGGGTATCAATGAGAGCTGAGCTTTGAGAAAACTCGTGTTATTGATTGTGGGCTTTTGACTGGCCAACATTTCTTCACTGTCAGGGTTTAGACGTCTTCTTGGGAAATCTTTAATGAGAACTGAGAGCAATTCAACCATCTCTCTCAAAAAACGACTCAACCCCATTAGAAATAAAGTGACAGATATTGGCTTCTGTATCAAGAATAGGCATATTTATAAATAGCTGCTCTCTCACATAATAAGGTAAATGAATCTTAATATTTTTGTTGACTCTACAACCTAATGTTTCCTCTCTGATTCAGAGGACGGGGCTGAGGAGCCTTTGACAAAGAAAGAAGAAGAAGAGCGGAGGATTGCAGAGATGGGCAGGCCAATGCTGGGCGAACACGTCAAACTGGAGGTGATCATCGAGGAGTCGTATGAGTTCAAGGTAGGAGACGTTTCTCTTGGGTTAGTGGGAAATATGTAAGCCCCTTTCAGACCAAACTGTTCTGAGGAGCTCTGATGGCCACTCTGCATCAGAGAGCACCAAGAGATCAACCAGGACTTTGTTGTTTGTACCACTAACAAAACAACAAAATCCTCAAATGTTCAACGCTAACTGTTTTTAACATAACTAATTGAAAGGGAGTACCATGACCCCCAAAAACTGAATTCTAAGGACTTTCCCACATAGTTCCTGCAATGTGGGCACACATAAAAAAGGAGACTTCCTCTAACAGTGATTAGAAAAAGGTCCTTTAGTCTGAACTAGCCTGACGAGTCGGATCTAAAGGACACTCCAAAACTCTCTCATAGATTAACGGATAGTTCAGAAATGCACCTGCCAACATCAAGGAAGCCCAATCCCTACACTGTCTTTACATTTTATACATCACTCCTACCACATAGCATGTTGGACTGTGACCTGAAAGACTAGTATGTTGACTTTGTTCCCTTTGAATTGAGTCGAGCTGATGGCTTTACCTTCAGAGTTACTGAACGGACATTTAGTTGCATCATTAAACCAGGAGGAACGTGAATAGCTGGAGCATCTGGCATTTCTAGCCTTTTATGTGGGATTTTCATCAGTATGTCCTACATAAATGGCTAAATGGTCAAATGCATATAAGAGATTTTCTTTGAAACCTAATGGCGTCTGGTTTGTGAAGCTATACTTGTTAAGCTTAAGGTTCTGCACCCTGATCCGACACTGTTCACCTGCAACATTGTAGCTAGTGGTGAGTTAGCAAAATGAAGACTTCTTCTTGATGTCTGCTTGAAGCGTCTTTAGGCCCTTAAAGGCAGAATATGCTGCCTTGACCGCTGAACAGTGGAGAAACATTCAGAGCTGGAGTTTTATGTCAGATGCAGATGTTCACCACATTCAGACTGGTCTATAAACAGTCCTTAGCCTGAAAGAGTCTGTAATAGAAAGGCACAAGTCGGACTGAGCCTGAAATGATCACGATGGGTTCTGGGTCCTGCTTCCTGTCCGCTCTTCCCTTGCATGATGCTCTCAGAAACTGAAGAATTTCCGATAGTGAGAGAACATCTGAAGCAGGCTTTCATCAGCTATCTTCTACACGTCAGGCAGGGCGACTGTTTCAGACTGAACTTCAGATGCTGTCATCGTCTGAAATGAATGCTGAGAATTCAGCATCAGATAGAAAAAGCTAAAGTGAGGTGGCTGATTTTCAAAATGGTCAGCAGGGCAGTGAAGGTGACATTAGATGTTTCCTGGATGTGTTTCAGAGTACAGTAGATAAACTCATTAAGAAGACCAACCTGGCTCTGCTGATTGGGACCAACAGCTGGAGGGAGCAGTTTGTGGAGGCCATCACAGTCAGCTCAGGTATGAACTAACTCTAACTGTCCTTCTTCAGGTATGAAAACCAACATTAATATAAGCCCTGATTAAGGGCTACCAGTCTGTACCCAAGCCAAGCTTTAAAACTGATTCCTGGCTCTGCTCTCCTCAGGCGATGATGATGAATGTGGAGAGGAGAAGCTGCCCTCTTGTTTTGACTACGTCATGCACTTCCTCACCATTTTTTGGAAGCTTCTGTTCGCCTTCGTTCCTCCTACAGACTACTGGAATGGTTGGGCCTGTTTTGTTGTCTCCATCACTGTCATAGGCATGTTGACGGCAGTGATCGGAGACCTGGCGTCGCATTTCGGCTGCACCGTGGGCCTCAAAGACTCAGTCACCGCTGTGGTGTTCGTCGCTTTGGGCACTTCTGTACCAGGTCTAATACAAACATCTCGTTTTCTTTACTAGGACTTTCAGTCCTTCAGATTTTGTCCAAGGCAAATCCTAATAAAAACATTACAGCAAACAAACAACAGCACATTAAATCAGAACTATCTGTATGAAAACCCAAAAGGTTCTGATTCTGTTCATCTGGACGTTTTCAGTGGGAGAAACGTTTCATCATCATCAGGTGACTCCTTCAGTCTCAGGTTTCAATCTTATAAACAGGGCATTTGCATAATGACTGAAACCAGCCCACTGAGGAACCATGGGCTGGGAGGTCAGTTCCTTAATCTTAATTATGCAAATTCTCATGACCACTGATCAACAACCACTGACCAATGGCCATGAGTCCCATTCACAGAGAGTTGGGGAATGGCTGCAATCACAGCATTGTAAGATGGCGAAGGATGAACCCTTAGGCCCCCTCCTTGATTCAGAGGTGGTCTTTCCCTTTTCACATAAACGGCCTCCTTGACTCCGCCCTCAAACCAGCGTTCCTCCCTGTCCAGGATGTTACATCCTCATCATTGAAAGAGTGTCCACTGGCCTGTAGGTGTAGAATAGACTGCAGAGTCCTGGCCTGACGAGGTGGCTCTTCTGTGTTGTAGCCAGAGGTTGTTTGGTTTCCCCGATGTATAAATCCTGCCAGTCCTCCTGCACTTAACAGCGTACACATGTTACTCTGTTTGTGTCGGGGACCCGATCCTTGGGGTGGACCAGTTTTGGCGCAGCGTGTTTTGGGGTTTAAAAGCCACAGAGACCCGGTGTTTAGAAAAAATGCTCTCAGCTGCTCCGATACTCCTGACACGTACGGGATCACTACAGGTTTTCGCTTGGGCAGCGGTTGTCCTTCTCTCCTGGATCAGCTGGAGCTTTCTTTAGGTGCCTTTCCAGCTTTGACAAAAGTCCAGCTGGGATAACCACATTTACTCAGGGCCTTCTTGATGTTCTTCTGCCTCCCTGGCTGCTGTGTCAGTGGGGATGGTGTTCGCTCTGTGTTGTAGCGTCCTGATGACGCCCAGTTTGTGCTCCAGTGGATGATGAGAGTCAAACCTTAGATACTGATCCGTATGTGCAGGTTTACGGTACACGTCAGCTTGTAGATGTCCCCCATTACTGATGGAAATCTCACAGTCTAAGAAGGCTAACCTGCCACTGTTCATATCCTCCCTGGTGAATCTGATGTGTTAATGTGATCCACAGAGTTAATGTGATCCATGAATTGTCGTACGTCCTAAGATTTGATTTTCACCCAGGTGTCATCCACATCCAATGGATTGGTGGTGTTCCAGGGTAGGATAGCAAAGCCCTCTTTTCCACTTCCTCCATGTACAAATTGGCCACGATGGGTGAAACTGGGGAGCCCATGGCACCCATGTTTCTGCCTGTAGGACTGACCCTTGTATGTGAAGTAGGTGGAATGAAGACACAGTTCAAACACACTTGGTCGATGCTGAGAGCGGTCATCCTCTAATCTCTTACGAACTACCTCCAACACATCCGTGACTGGGATGCAAGTGAAGAGAGATGTAACGTCGTACGAGACCATGGTTTCATCTGCCTCCATGATGACATCTCTCAACTTCTCAACAAAATCCAAAGTGTTCTGGATGTGGTGTTCAGAGCTGCAGGGTTGAAGGTCAAAGCCAGAAACTTAGAGATGTTATAGGTGACTGAGTTGATCATACAGACAATTGGTCTTAAAGGCATAGCCCTTTATGTATCTTCTGTACAGCCAGATGAACAGAATTAATTTTGGGGAATTTCTTTAACTGGATGATTGAGCATGCATCAAGCCCTTTTTATCTCAAACATATCTTCTCTCCACTTTCTCATCATCAGACACCTTTGCCAGTAAGGTGGCAGCCATTCAGGACCAATATGCCGATGCCTCCATTGGAAATGTGACGGGGAGCAACGCCGTCAATGTCTTCCTAGGTATTGGCGTGGCCTGGTCAATCGCTGCTGTCTACCACTACACCCAAGGTCAGGAGTTCAAGGTCAGCCCTGGCACACTGGCCTTCTCCGTCACACTCTTCACCATCTTCGCCTTTATCTGCATCGCTGTGCTCATCTACCGCCGCCGACCGGAGATTGGCGGGGAGCTAGGTGGACCCCGTATCCCAAAGATCCTCACCACTTGCTTGTTCTTCAGCCTGTGGTTAATGTACATCGTCTTCTCCTCCCTGGAAGCCTACTGCCATGTAAAGGGCTTCTAACAGTGCCACTCCAGACCCTCTTCAGGACTTTTCTGTTGGATTCTAGGTTGCTGCATATACCAGTGGGCTATTGTCAAACATTTGCTGCATATCTAAAGGTTATAAGAGGGATTGACCTGAATGGATTCGCTGTAGTTCAGTTCACATTCTTCACGATCATGATCATGAACAGGGACAGAGCACATAAAACAAAATAAAATACATTTTAAAAAGCATCTTGAATGGGTTGGGGTTACAATCATACTGGGTGGCTTTTTTAAGGGTTTGAATAAAATCTAGTGACTTAGCAGTTTCTATAATTTGTTACTTGTCTGAAAGTTTAGATTGATGAACATTTCAACAGGTTTCTAACAAGTTTTGTTTGTTCTTTTTTCACCTATCTCTGAATATCGGAGTTCTTTAAGGTTCTACTAAAGGTACAGAAGTTTCTCATGTGACGCCATGTGCACATTGCTCAAGAGCTGTCTGCCATATTAGACGTGATACAACCACTGGTTGCTGTGGGAAAATGTCTATTTCCTGACTGATTTGCAGTGGTTGCTGGTGATTTCTGCCTCTCACTGGGTGAAATTAGATGCAAAAAAAGGTTTGCACCAGAAAACTCAGAGTGATTGCTTTGGTTGCTACCAGGTTGCCATGGGGAAATGTAGTTTTTCACATTTGTCTTCAAATCCTTGCAAATTCCCAGCAACACCCACTGGAAGTTCAGAAAGTTTGCCTTTAAAGTAATAAGACCACGACAACTGCCATCAGCCTCCAGCAACAACTTACAACCAGTGGTATAATACTGCTGTTTCCCACACAAACAGATGGTTGCAGCCGCTCTCTAGGCCTGTGTGACCTGAGTACTATTCACCTGATTCTACAGTATCACCATGATCCAAAATGGCAGACAAGTAAGCGTCACATGGTTGCAAACCCTCAGTGAGAGGCTCAAAACCTCTTTGATGGCTTTCTAAAGGCTCCGACAGTACCCGATGGACTCTCTTCTGCTGTGAAGGATCCCTGAAGGTTCTAGTGGAACCCTGAGAACTGAAACTGACTGACTCTGGTGTCCATATTGAACTGTTCTCTGGCTGCTGAGCAATGGTGACTACATTCATTCTCACATACCTCCCAACCATGTAAAAAATCCATCCGAACCTTTCAGCTATGTCTAATGTAAACTATTTAATTTTGACGTGCATGGACTTTAAACCACATCATGAGTAGCCGTGGTGATTAAGGAGAACCAGAGTGACTTTTAGTGTTTTAGGTGACTCGGAGGGTAGTGTTGCACCTACATTAATATCTGCACTGAGTTTGAATAAAGGGAGAGTTTAATCAGAGATGCTGTGAACAGCAGCTGGCTTGAGTTGGACCTGAGCTGCTGCTTCAGTGGAGTCAAACACTGAGGAAATAACGATGTATGCTTGAGTGTGAGTTCCTACACCGATGACAGAAATCTGTTAGCAAAGACAAAATTCTGTCATGTGATTGGCTGCTTGGGTGATGTAAACATTAGTTGCGTCTTCATAATGCAGTGTCTTTGTTTCAAGTATTAAAGTAGAGTGTCAGTAAATCGTTCTCCTCTTTGACTGGATCACAGAAATGTCTGCTCAAATCCAAGGCATCAATTTCATGTCAGCAAAGAGCAGAACATTATAAATGATACTACAATATTATACATGCGTTACACTAAACGAGGGCTGCGATGTAAACCTGACAGGTGCATCGATAGCTCACAGTTAGGGAGCTCAGGTAAGAGAAAAGCAACAATTTCAGGTGTATTTATTGATATTTTACAAAACCAACGTCCCTGTGAAGGGTTAAAGCTCTACTGTATGACAAACTGCTAACACAAACATCGGAAAAAAACACAAACATCGATGACACAAGGTTAAAGGCTGAGCTTTGAGGACTGTTGGTTCTATATGACCATTAGCTCTCTGAGGAATCAGAATGTGAAACTTTTGGTTTTGTTTGTTAAAAAGTTCTCTGAAGACACAAAATAAAGTTTATGTAATTGTAACTGACATGAATATAAAACTATTCAAGCTTTTCCAACAAAGCTTTCTCTAAGGGTTCCTGGCTGTTCGCACCTTTGATGACAGACCTCACAGGGTTAAAACAGCCACACCACACCGTTGGTTTTGCATGTTTGTAGCTGTCTCTGCTGTTTTTGTCTCTTTGTGGACCCTTTGTCCCCTCTGGGATCTTTTTCTCTGTGTTTTTGTTACAGAAATGTTCAGAGTCACTTCAAACAGAGGCTCTGGCCAAACTCTGAGTTTAATGAGTTCCACTGAAAGACTACTCTTTAAAAATCTAATTAACCAACTCATCTGAGCCATATATAAAAGATGCTATTATTAACATTAATATTATTACAGGACAAACATGTGCGCATTACTTACTCCGTGTCAGACACATCCATCACATAAAAAGCCTTCTGATGAGGTACAAGTATTTCTACTCCAACATGATGTGAGAGAAAAAGGCAAACAAGGTTTCTGCTGCTCTGCTGACACTGAGAGGACGAGGAGGGGTTACAGGTTTACTGCCCATCATGACCAGCAGCTCAACACGATGCGTCCGCAGGGAGGTCATGTGATCCGGACGACGATGAGAGCGAGCAAGGTCAGGGTTTGTTGTATCCAAAGATTCCAACAGGAAAGTGTTTGACGTGTGTCGGCCACTGAGCCGCCAGCTGGAAAAACTTTACGTCATTCCACTCCACGCCGTCGACGGACACTGAGAGACACGAGGAGGAATTCAGTTCAAGTCATGCAGCGCCAAATCAAAGTCACCTCAAAGTGCTCTACACTGTAACTGATTCAGCAGAAAGTAAAGTTTGAATCTTGAAAGTAGAGATAGTGTCTGTCTCCTGAATCCAAACTGGAAGCTGGTTCCACAGAAGAGGGGCCTGAAAACTGAAGGCTCTGCCTCCCATTCTACTTTTAAACACTCTAGGAACAACAAGTAGGCCTGCAGAGCGAGAGCGAAGTGCTCTAATAGGGTGATATGGTACTAGGGCTGCTCGATTATGGCAAAAATGATAATCACGATTATTTTCACTGAAATTGAGATCTCGATTATTTGACGATATTTATTTAACAATAACAATGTGTTGAATAATGACTTTAAAGATTGTCAAAATAAGTATGTGCAAATACTGATAACAGTGCAAATGTTTGCAGATATAAGAAATAAATGAAAAATGTAAACATCTGTGTTTAGTGAACTTTGCAGTGTTGCTCTGTGGTGCAGCTACTGAACCATAGCAAAGTTTACACACTGTGTCTACTTGATCCACGTCTGACTCGAACCCATAATGTTTCCACACCACTGAAGTTTTTTTACCTCTTTTCAACCAACAGCAGTCACTCTCCTCTCCAAATAACTTCTGCTAGCTTTCCGAGCTTCCCTCGGGTCCTCTTAATCAGCGGTCCCCAACCCCCGGGCCTCGGACCGGTACCGGTCCGTGAGTCGTTTGGTACCGGGCCGCGAGAGTTGAGGCTCAGGTGTGAAATGTATAGTTTTCAGGGTTTTTATCGGTTTTCAGCGTTATTTTGTTATCGTTTTTATCGTTTACTCGGTTTTCCTGGGTCTTTTCACGTGTGTTATGAATAAATCTTCTTTTTTTCGGTACCGAGTACTGAGTTTTATTTTGTTGTATTTATCCGCGACACCTTAAAGGCCGGTCCATGAAAATATTGTCGGGCATAAACCGGTCCGTGGCGCAAAAAAGGTTGGAGACCGCTGCTCTTAATCGTTGTGACGCGTGTTCGAAATGCAGAGAGGTGCGCTCGATTTGCCACACGGGGCCCACAGGGGCTAATAATCGGCTCAGTCATTTTTAATGATCGTTGAAAGCCCAGATCGTAATCGAGATTAAAATTCGATTAATTGAGCAGCCCTTGATATGGTACTACAAGGTCATTAAGATAAGATGGGGCCTGATTATTTAAGACCTTGTATGTGAGGAGCAGGATTTTGAATTCTGGATTTAACAGGAAGCCAAAACAGGAGAAATTGCTCTCTCTTTCTAGTCCCTGTCAGGACTCTTGCTGCAGCATTTTGGATCAGCTGAAGGCTTTTCAGGGAGTTTTTAGGACTTCCTGATAATAATGAATTACAGTCGTCCAGCCTGGAAGTAATAAATGCATGAACTAGTTTTTCAGCGTCACTCTGAGACAGGATATTTCTAACTTTAGAGATGTTGCACAAATGGAAGAAAGCAGTCTTACATATTTGTTTAATATGTGCGTTGAAGGACATGTCCTGGTCAAACAATGACTCCAAGGTTCCTCACAGTGTTACTGGAGGCCAAGGTAATGCCAAGTCGGCTTCTTAAGTCTGTGTGTGTGTGTGTGCGTGCGTGGTGCGTGCGGTGCGTGCGTGCGTGCGTGTGTGTGTGTGTGTGTGCACCTCTGAGTGTGTGTTGGTGTTTGGAGGTACAGATCAACCTGCTGATTCCTTCAATCAGCTGACTCCTTGACTCCGCCTCCTTCTCCTTTGCCTTCTTACTGAGAAATATGACTGAGAAACACACGTTCATTATCACCTTCATCAACACCTTCATCTCCACCTCAAACTTCATCCTCCTCTTCCTCACCTTTCTTGTTCTTCTCCTTCGTCACCACCGTCATGCTCATCAGCTCTCCTCCGCTGAGCCTCGACACCTGCAGACAGCGGAAGTTGCTCTTCAGCGTGTTCTTCATCCCGATTTCCTTCTTCCGCTCTCCTCCTCCACCCTGGCTGCTCCAGTAGTCCACCTGCAGTCCCATCACCTCTGTGGGACAGCTGCACAGAAAAAAAGGAGGATCACGACTCTGATCACAGAGGAACGGCGTTCGTCTGGGAAAAAGCTGCGGGCAGGAAGTACCTGGTGGAGGGGGAGGGAGGAGGTGTCGAGGTGATGTTGATCGGTGCTCCTGATTGGGAGGGAGGAGATCCAAGTATGATGTCATCAGAGTCCACTGTGGAGGAGCAAGAGGAACATTTAACAGACATCAGAGGCTGTCAGAGGTCAAAGGGCATGGGGAGGGGGGGCAGGCATACCTGAGGTGGACATGAAGTTCTGCTCCACGATGCCGACCTTCACCAGCTGAGAACAGGCACACAAACAGTCATGTCCGTCACATACCTGTCACTCCAGAATATGCTTTACGTCCCTGCTGCTGTACGTTAGCGCAGATGGCAGGTGTAACGTTGGTCCATCAATGCTGAACCAGAGCTGCAGATGTAAGCTGCCATCAGCTCTTAGTTCAGCAGACGATAGTTGAAAGCACAGTGCTCAAGCAGAGAAGAAAAGCGCTACAGTCCATTCACCATTTTCAACCATGCTGTTCTAAAGACTGCACCTGCAGCACACACCTGTCACCTGTTTGAAAATAGTAGATACACCTGTGGTAGTCCACACCATCCGGTCACCCACCCTGCGGGGGACGAGCACACCCAATCAGCCTTTTACAGCTGAGGGGGTAGAAAGCATTGCAAAACCAAAAGTGTGACCTGCTGAGCAGCTGAAA